AAAATAAAAATGGGGAGGGTAATAAATCTGTCATGGGTCCTTACCTATAACTACAGAATGAACTCTTCCTAACACTATGTATACTACGCCTCTCAAGAGAGAGGGACGAATCGAGCCGAGCTTCTCGGCTTGACGGTCGAACTCTCTGCCTCTGAGCAGAGAGGAACCCGGACGAGGCTCCGCCGAAGGGCAGAGTCTCGTTCGGGGAGGTTGACCAAACCCGATCCCGTTTATACGGGTTCTACGAGCATTTTTTGGCCGAGGCTACGGGCTCGGGAAAACCCACGTTAAACTCGGCCTTGTGCCACATGCAACCCTCGTGGGGGGTAGCTAGATGCCGAATCGAGTCGAGCCGATAGTAGTTCACTCCAAACCAGACTGACAGTCATACCAACACCTTCCACATCTTGTATTATTATTTTGTGTAAAATACCTTCGTTATTTCTACTCTTGTGTTCGTGTTGTTCTTCCTTGGTTCTCACCTGGACCATAACAAAACTGAAAAAGAAAAATCAAAAACTTTGCAAAACAGGCCTAAGAAAAGAACGTAATAAAAAACGGTAAAAATAAATCAAACTTAACCAAACGGAGTTTACAGTTCAAAAAGATCGTAGAATGGCAGAAAAACGTCGAGTGTTAATCATCAGTCAACTTCGGTCTGATTTATTCATGTGAGAATACAAAGTTCGCGTATAGTGTCCTTTTATAGTCCCAGTAAACAGAGATAGTTCTCTCAAAGAGAAGAGTAACGAAATAAGGTGAGACCACAGTTGATTATTTATAACATATATATATGTGTGTGTGTGTGTGTGTGTGAGTATAGTAAGGGTAGTATTAGTATATAATCCAAGTGGATCCCAGTAATATAATATATTAAAACTAATCCACAAAAAGAGCTCAATGCATTTTTTTTAATACAGAGCAATATATTTAATAAACAATAAAATCCAAAATTACCTCATATGGGAAATAGCCTATTTCAGCACACGAAGATATCAATCGTCTGTCTTATCAACCCCGGTGTGGACTGAGTTCGTGTCGCCCAAACTGAGTCCACACCGGGGTTGATAAGACAGTCGACTGATATCTTCGTCTGCACCTCTAAAAGGTGTGATAAGATTGGCAGCTGAACTCTCTTCCGATTTAACACTAACTTCCAAGTGAGGGAAAAACTGGCTGGTTACATTCAGTGCCTCTAAAACGAAACTGGTTTCATTCCATCACCGCCGATCAGACCCCGAACTATGGTCAGTCACGATGAACGGATGTTCCCTCGAGAAGGCCTCGTGTCTCGAGATGATATTGGGCCTCAAACCCAAGTGGAATTCCTATATACGATCCATCGCTACTTTTCAAACTGCTCTCATTTCAACCATCCACAATCTCATTGTTGGTTACTTTCGCCATGATCTGATCACTGGCATGCCACAATAATAGAAGAAAGAGTAGGCAAGTAAGTACAAAAGTATATCACATTCCCATAAAGACTATACCTACTTCGATCGAATATGGATTAGAATCTCCTTTAATAAAAAGAAAACGTTTAATTCATAAACATTTCCTATTTGTTTCTTATCCTATCATTCTGTCGGATTCTAATCCATATTCGATCTATATCTGACTCGTAGTCAATATATATATATACATACATATATATATATATATATATATATATATATATATATATATATATATATATACCGGGTGTAACAGCAAAATTGTCTAAATCATGTCAGTAAAATTGTCAAATTGTTAGATTAAGTTTGAACCGTTATATCTTATAAATGATTAAAGATATCTTACTGGAATTTTTCAATGTTTTTATAAAACTATTGGACTCTACTTTAACAAATAAGTACGTATTTAGCTCTAAGTTGCAATGATGACCCTTTTCCTGTTGTGACCTCCTGATCTAGTTTTCCTGTTTACTGTTCCATCTTTTTAGACTTATTCACTGTTGTCTTGATGTTTCTTGAATGGACTTTGAAGATGGAAGCCAGAGTATGAATGTTGATAGCATTACTGAAGGGATGAATGATCTTTTTCCTCTCACTATTTCTCATTTTAGAAGAGAGTGGGGCTGCCACAAAACAATTTTAATCGGTTCTCTTTCAAGCTGAATAACTCAAAGAGTTTTTCATTTTTAATCTGTTCCGTCGTCTTCGATTTTACTGTTCAGTTCTTAGAACTTAAAAGCTAGATTATCCGGCACACAGGATTTGATTATAGTTTTGAAGGCTTATGCAGAACCAACGACCCTCTCCAGAAGAAATAAATAAAGTGGAGTATTGGTTAACGGATCGGATTGAGGAATCGGAGGGCAGAGATCGAATTCCAGCCCAGTTAATATCCTTGGAAAAGGTGATTCATTTCATGAAAATAGCAGAACAGATTGGTTACAAATCGGGGGACTAAAAAGGGGCCAAATCAAGATACATTCCCTAGTTAAACTAATTTTAACAAAAGAAAAACAAATATCTAATGATGTCTTTAACGGGAAATCAAGACTTTTAACTTGGCAACTCACGGTGATACTCCGAGTTAGCCCAGTTCACATGACACAAATGCAAATTCACATCCTTTCCTAAATCTATTCAGTCCTTAGTTTCACCACTGATGCAAATCACAGTCTTAGTTCAGGAGCAACACCAGATCGCTAACATCCTGAAAGGACATAGTGTTAATATAATTAAGAATTCACAGAAATATTTTCAATATTAATATACAAGTTAGTTTACATATACTAGGCGTTTTATATAAATAACTATATAAATCATACTACGCAAAGTAGGTGCAAATATTTGAATGAAACTCATCTCACCACTCGAGACTTCCTAGTCTCGCAGTTAGTATCTATGAGAGGAGGAAGAGTTCATTCTAATGTAAGAGGGTTTACCACAACACTAATTACAGGGTTGGTACAGATGGAATAAATTTGGAGATATATCCTATAAATATTGGTCACCATTGGTTACGTAACAATGTTTTCCCTATTGTGGGGTTTGATTGGATTGGAACTCTTAAAACTTCTTATTTTACAATCAACATCATCACTTGATAAGGCACCAGATGTATTTTGAAATTTTAAACATGCTTACGTTATAATTTTGAATAAATATTTCTATCTAATCATCTATCTATCTATCTATCTATCTCCAGTTATAATTTTGAATAAATCTATCTATCTATCTCATCTATCTATCTATCTATCTAATTGTTGTTCATTCTTTAAATCTATCCATCTAAAGTTCAATCTATCTATCTATCTATCTATCTAATCTATCTAAATTGGTGGTTTGTTTAGAAGAAAGAAAGACACGTAAGACGAAGGTATGAAGAAGTGAAATAACAGATATATACAAAGCAAGGAATGTTAGTAATAAGCAGAATAGAGGTGTACGTCCGAACGGTAGGGTAACACTGCCTCTCCGCTCCCCCAACCGACTGCCTCGTCACTATAGGAAGTCTTGCAGTTAGTATTTATAAGAGGAGAAAGAATTTTTTCTATTGTAGGAGGGTTTACCACAACATAAATGTACACGAATAGACTTTCAGTGAGGAAGAGAGAAAGTGGATACAAGATCAAGGGAGTTCATTGTTGTTTTGGTGAGAAAGACAGGACGACGAAGTTGATTCGTATCTCTACTGCTGTCAGTCTTTCTGTCGAGTTGAATGAATGTTTAGTTTTTATAGTCTTGTGTAGGCTCCAGAGGCATGTGTTTATTGGTGGGAGTTGATTTTATCGGCTATTTATTTTTATTAAATTGAAAATTTGAAGTATGTTTGAAACCCGGAAGGTTGCGCGGAGTCCTTGCGCAGTGAGTTTATTTTTGTCATTTGCTCCTTTGATTTGATGGGGTTCACTTCCGCCTATTCTACAATTTTCTTTTGTTTCCTAGCGCCTCTCTCCCTTTTCAGCCTGTTACCCCCGGAATTATTAAGCGAACAATAAGTTAAGGGGTGTCCAAATTTTTTTCAAAGTGGGCCAGATTTGATGAGGTGGACAACTGTGAGATCCAACCATTTTGTTTGACATACTTTGAACCATTAAAATTAAATGTCAATGAACTTTCTTCTGAAAATTCTATTACAAATGGCATATTTTCATTTCTTCACATGGATGACAAATAAATTTAAACAAATCTTACCAAAATCATTCAGCCTGCCATATTTGAAGTTCATATAAGATGAAGTAAAATATGTTTGAGAAAAACAAAGAACTTCCAGGAAGCTAAATATATCTCAGGTTAATCTTAAACATTACATTTTATTGTTTAATTAATGCCTGTTAACTTTTAAGTTAAAAACATATGAATAGAAATATAACAGCAACATTGATCTTCTTAAGAAGTAGAAAACATAAAGTGACACAAGTTCAAGTGTCCAAATACAGTGGAACCTCGGTTTACAACTTTAATTCGTTACTGAAGGCCGTTCGTAACCCGAAATGTTCGTAAAACGAAACTATTTTTCCAAAAGGAATCAATGTAGAGAAAAGAGTCACAGTACAATAAAATTGAAAAAAAACAAAAAAAAAAAAAAAAACAAAAAAAAAAAAAACCCCACAAAAAACACGAATGGATACAAAAAGGCGGTCGACTCAGAAATTCTTCCGTTAGGGCTAACTTGGTTCAGCAATGTTGTTCGGGAACCGAAATTTTGTTTGATAACCGAGGCATTTTCATCACGAATTTTCTGTTCGAAAACCGATTTGTTCGACATGTGAGGCGTTCGAGAACCGAGTTTGCACGGTATATAAATAAGTGATTTTGATCAACACAAAACAAATTTTATTCACTTTAGAATTTATTCATCTGAGATGACCAAAAAAAAAATAACTTACCTGTACTAATGAGAAGGGTGATACTGAGGTCTGGACTGCAGTATGTAGGCCAGGTCTGGTTCAAAGGCAGTGATTTTAGAAATTAGCTGCAAAAGGCCATGGTTAGGTTCACACCACCAGAGGGCGGACATATAGTGCTGTTGCCATCTTTTAAAACATGAAATTGCATATCTATCTATCTATCTATCTATCTATCTATCTGGATCTGTTTCAATGGATAGTGGCTCGGATTGAGGAATCAGAGAGCCGAGTTCGAATTCCAGTCGAATCCATTACATTCGCTTATATGCTATTACCCTTGGGAAAGGTATGAATCCTCTTCTTTCCCCCCCAGCCATGGGTAAACAGCAGGATATACCAGGTTCTATACACTTGAATAGCAACTGGTCTACTGCTGAAAGAAATGCCAACCTACTTCGGGGAAAAATCTTTCTAGTCAGTTATTTATCAAAAGATACATGATCGCCTAAGCATGTATCACGCATGGTACATAACTGACTGATCTATCTATCTATCTATCTATCTATCTATCTATCTATCTATCTATCTCAGTCTCTTCATATCTATCTATCTATCTATCTATCTCAGTCTCTTCCTATCTATCTATCTATCTATGCTTTCAACTAGTTTGTCAAATTACTGTTAGATAAATTTTCTTGAAATGTCGATGCCGTAAAAAGTTCCGATATGAGTCAAGAAAAAAGTAAATAAAAAACAAAAACAAAAACAAACTGCTTTATTCTGCAAAAAGTTCCTTTCCTGAAAAACAAAAATCTAAAAACAATAAACAAAAGAAAAGAAAATGTACTGAGTGTGCCACTTGCCACTTCAAATCATAACAACACATGAAGCAGTTATCTTTCAGAAGCATTTGGACGAGATTTAATCAACCATTGATAAGCACATGTCCTCTTCTCAGGGAGATTCCGATATTTAAGGTCAAAACCTGGTGCAGAAAGCCACTTCTAAACTGTTACTCTTTCAAACAACTTCACCATGTACCTTCTGGCTTTGTTCGTAACAGTCACCCTTATATCGTGCACATCGGCAAGTAAATTCTGTTGTGCCCCTGATAAATACACTGCGGATACTCTAATCAAATTTTACGTAAACGGAGGCTTCTATCAGGTAAGCACATTTATAATAACTGGCCATATAAACATGCACCAACGTCAAATCATTCATATGGAGTAAAAACATAATGGCGTCATTATTACTTATAACCTGAGTTTTAATATATTACTTATTAATTAATTAATTAATTTAATTTTTTACGTTATTTATTACCAAAACAAGTAAAATGTTGCATGTAATTTTGTGAAACTACTTGTCTTTGTCAAGTTGGAGTAAATTTCAAATAAGTGAAATTCCTCTCGGGTATTTGAACGACAAGAACGCTAATTATTAGGCAAACAGGAATATAATTTTGAGAGACTATAAAACGTTAAAATGTCCGCAATAATAGATTATGGTCATCTTTTGGGTCCGAAGAAGAATTTGTCTTGGAATTCATTGTTTAAAGCATCAAATCAAGTTTCAACGCGAAGATCAAAACAATTGTGATCTCCAGTATACGGTGGTGATCTTCTATTCGGATATTGATTTTATTTGGTTTCATGGCTTCTTCAAAGTTTACAAAGGTTTGTTGGGCAATGACACGCCAACACAATCCGACGACAGTCAACTCCACTGGTTCGTTTGCTCGGATCTTGCAACAGACAAGGTCAGTTCTGATTTTGATTCTTTGTATCGTTTAATTGGCCGGCCTCGGTGTCATCTGCCTCACGTGACTGTTGTCAACAGGAATCTGGGAATGCAATTTTGATCAAGGAGGATGAAATCACCAGTAAGAGATATTAGTGTGTCAGTCTCACTCTCTCTCTCTCCACCTGTCTCTCTCTCACACTCTCTCTCCCGATCTCTCTCCTTCTTTATCTCTCTCCCCGTTCTTTATCTCTCTCTCATTCATTCTCTCTCCCCACCTCTCTCTCACACACACACACACACACACACATATATATATATATATATATATATATATATATATATATATATATATATATTGATGCATGTTTCATTAAATAATATAGACAAGTTTTGTCTATTTTATATAATTTTTTTTCATATCGTCTGATAAGCTTAATAACATTATCATTAAAAGAAGAAAGAAAATCACAATATTGATCCATATTTTTTAATCCAATCTAAGCTTTCGGCTTACATAAGCCATTATCAAAGATGACACTTACATTGAAGCATATTAAACAATACACAAACATGGCAATAATAAGTCTGTTTTTGTTTACTAGGGAGATCTCCAAGCAATTGCCTTTTCACAAGGCTACATTTATAATTCCAAGTGTTGATAGTTTGGTGGGCTGCTGGATCATGTAATTTCAATTGTGCGTATTCAGGCTGCATTTTTTTCATTGACGCATGTTTCATTAAATAATACAGATAAGTTTTGTCTATTTATTTTATGCAAATTCTTTTCATATTATATATGTATTGTTTAGTATATTGTAATGTATTGTTTAATATATTGTAATGTAATTGTCATCTTTGATAATGGCTTATGTAAGCCGAAAGCTTAGATTTGATTAAAAATATGTATCAATATGGTGATATTCTTTCTTCTTTTAATGATAAAGCTATTAAGGTTATCAGGCTATATATATATATATATATATATATATATATATATATATATATATATATATATATATATATAAATGGAACCTCAATTTAATTCGTTTGTCCGTTAATTGGAAGAACTTTTTGTCGCCTAAAAGATGCAGTACAGAAAAAATTATTGTAAATAAATGTAAATACGGTATATATGTAAGTGTATTTTATTTTTAAGTTATTATATACCTTTAAATAAAGTTTGAAAAGTTTTAAAGATGAATCCGGAATCCGTTAATTCGAAGTTTTACTGTATATATGTTGTATATATACAAGTAGGGTCCAAAATGAAAGAACAAAAATTTTTCTGAAATTTTCACTAAATGTAGAAAAATGGCAGTTCATTTTTGCTTTTAATCTGTAATTATTTAGAATGATACACAGAAAGATATGAGTCGTTAATTCTTTACTCAAATATATGTGTGAATAACACATATAATCCGGATTTTTGATAAGCGAGTTTAAGATGAAGATTGTTTATCATCACTACGTCATTTTCCAACATGGCGAACCGATGAAAAGTTGACAAGTCTCTAAGAGCTGATGTTGTCAAACTGCGAAAAAAAAATCCCACAAGTGACCAGATTGCTGAACAGGTGAAGCGTTCCAAAAGCGTTGTGAGCTGAATTCTGAAACTGTATGAAGATTGGTTGCTTAACCATTTCAAACAAGATGTCTAGACCAATGAAAACAATAACCAGAGAAGACAGGATTGTTCAATGCCTAGCACTGAAGGACCGTTTTCAAACTGCTGCATATATTTTATGAGAAATTTCAAATGATATTAATGTGTCTAGATGTTTGCAAGAAATAAGTCTTTATGCTACATGTCCACAGAAGAATTTGTTCATAAGCAAAAAATGAACAAAGGCAGCAAGACTGGAATTTGGAAACAAATGCATGTTGTGGCCAGAAGAACATTGTTTCAATGTATTTTTCAGAGATGAAAGTAAATTTAAAGTATTTGGTTCTGATGGAAAACAGTAAGAAGACAAATTGGTGAAAAGTTGAATTCAAAGGTCACCAAAAAGACAATCAAGTTTGGCGGAGGCATCATTATGGCTTTCGGCATGCCTTCAAGTCTGGGTACATCACCTCTTGCATGCTTACATAATAGAGTTAATTCTGCTATGTAAAAGAATTTGTTAGAAGACCATGTCGTACAGGTATTACAAAATTTTGGGTTTGAAAATCCTGTGTTCATGCAGGATAATACTCCCTGCCACAAGGCAAATCAGACTATTGCTTATCCGAACGACCAATGAATAAACGTTATGAATTGGCCAGCTCAGAGTCCTTACATGACTCCCATAGAAAACTTATGGAAGATTTTAGGACAAAACGGTATGGCTAGTGATCCATCAAATGTCGAAGATCTAAAGAAAAATTACAGAAGGAATTGGTTAAAATTATAGTTGACGAATGTCGACTGTTTCTTTCTAAAGTAACTAATAGCGGTATTGAATATACAGACAAAAACAATAACATTTACATCTACAAAATTACATATTAACTATAAATAAGACGAATTTTTTCTTAGAAATATCATAAAGAAATACACAACGTCAGTCAACCATAACAAAAAAAATAAATTATCTATTGCAAAAAAATTAAAACAGCTAATCTTATCCGACCATAGCTACATTAGGACACATTTAAACACAAAGTAAAACCTACCATACTCAATCCGAAATATATTAGTAGAAAATACAAGTATAATAACCTAATGCAAAGAAAGCCAGTAATGGCTGCCCGCGACGCAAATGAATCCGAATTTTCACTGTTGACAACTCCAAAACGGTAGATTTTATCAAATGTATCAAGCCAGATTCGAATGGAGTTTGTACAATTACGCATAAATGTAAGTATTCAAGAAATTTTTTAATACGAACTGAGCGCGGGTGTTACACTGCAAATTAACCTTTCATTGTTGTTGTTTTTTCTATTAGTAAATTTTCCTTTTAGTACTTATTTACTTTTCTCATTTTTTTCCCATTAGGTGCTTTTTCCTTTTAGTATTTTTCTCTGTTAATAGATTTTCTTATTATTTTTTTCTCTCTTAGCACTTTTCAGACGGAAAAATAACCCAAAAAAATATTATGATGAGGGCAGTCGATAAATTTCACTCGATATTAACTCTCGAAATGATTGACTTTAAAATCTTATGAATTCTTTTACTGATCATATTCCAAGCCGACATATTTTTTCTTCTTGCAGGGAAAAGGTCGGTTTTATGTTGATAATGGCATGGCCGTCTCTTTTAGCAACATTACAATCAGTGAACGCAAAGGTGTTTATTCGATTGTACGTACATTCTTCAATGCGAAAACAGTAAGTTAAATACATTTTGTTTTTTGTTTACTTTATCATCTAGTGATTATCTTTAATGTTTTCTTAAAAATATTATCACAATTATTAATATTTATTTACTAATTAATATTTATATCTTCTTTGTCTGCCATATTTAATGGAAAATGTTTAAAAAGAAATGTTGCTGTCCAAATATACATTATATATATATATATATATATATATATATATATATATATATATATATATATATATATATATAAAAAAAAGGCTTAAACACTAATATTCCATGGTCATAATTTATTCCATTGGAATCGTAAATACGATCCAATTCATCAGACCTACAAATTCAAAAAGAAAACAGAAAAAAACAACTCCGGAAATAAAAATAGAATTTAGAGAGAGTGTAAGTATGAGAGTGTGGGACGAATGTTAGAGCTAAAGAGAGGGGTAACAGACGAGAGAAGGTGGGAGATTAAACCTTAACAGAGAGAAATTTAGGGGAATGTTGTCGGATGTCTAATACATTAAAGATACATTTCGTGGTGACATATACACACCATAGACGATATAATGTTAAAGATCAGAAGAAGAGGGAGGGAGAGAAAAAGAAAAGTAAAAGGGGTGGGGGAGAGAGATGGGGCGAGGGAAACTAAGACTGAAGGGCATTTACTGAAAGGGCCGCTGTGTAATTAAGAAAATTTGACAAATTAATATCGACTACAGGTTACAAATCAAATATAAACATATAAACATAAAAAAAATTAAATATAACGATTATCTAATCTAGCAAGGACATGCGAATACACACATACTCAATAACATATACACGTATATACATATACATATGCGTGTACCCACATACACACATACATATACCCATGTACACGCATACACATATATCCACATATCTATACAAATACACACATACACATACATAAACACACATATACATATATATACATATACACACATACATATATCTGGTTCAATATGTGAGCTCTATCTCTGATACTGAGCGCTTTCTAATAAGTACCGCGCATATAATATACAAATAATTACACATACACACATACATATATATATATATATACACATACATACACATATATATATATATATATCCACCTATATCCATATACACACACTTTTCACATACATATACATACATACACACACACACACATACATACATACACACATATATATATATATATATATATATATATATATACATATATACGCACACACATATACACATATATACATATATACACACAATATTTACGATTCCAATGGAATAAATTATGACCATGGAATATTAGTGTTTAAGCCTTTTTATTCTACCTGGATTCTATCCTCTTGGAATTTTTTGTTCAAAAAAATATACATGTATGTGTATGCACCTATGTATATATACTTTTGTCTGTGTATATTTACCACTAATATTATCTATATCTATATCTATATATATTTATTTATTTATTAATACTCAGTAATATGCCAAATCACCTTATATTGGGAAGAAGCTTATTTCGACCCACGAAAATATAATTCGTCATTCTTATTCAACCCCGGTATAGACTGAGTTAGTATTTTTTAAACCCGATACGAACTTTTTTTCAAACACGAACTCAGTCTATCTAATTTCAGAAATACTGTCAGAGACAAAGATACTGCACAAAGAATATTGGGAAAAAATAATTCTAATGAAAATATCCCCCGCCCCGCAAAAAAAGAGTTGAGCAGTGTAAATAGTTACAGTATTATATATATATATATATATATATATATATATATATATATATATATATATATATATATATATAGTAGCGGCCATAATATAAGGAACGAAACAAAAAGACATAAATATGTATATTACTTAAAAAGTAATGCATGATTAGCAATGAAATTTTTACCGAATAAAGATTAGGTGTAATGCATAAATATTATACAAAGTTACAAAAATTTACATAATAGTTTTTTTTTTAAATAAAGATTAAATGGAACAAAGGAAATAAGCTACTGGACAAAAGTTAAGGAACGATGTTAATAATTTGCATAACCAGAAGAAAAACAGGATAGAAAAATCATTTGGTATACCCCTCCGTTCAACCAAATGGTTAGTATTAAGCTAGGACATAAATTCCTAGCTTTAATTGAAAAACACTTTCCTACAAATATTAGACTTAGTAAAATATTTAATAAAAACACCCTAAAATTAAGTTACAGTTGCACTGAATATCTAGAAAGTATAATAAAAAAAACACAATAATAAAATCCTGAATAAACCCCCATGCCAAAATAGTATTAATAAAAACCCTACACTTAAATTAGATAAAAATAGGGAAAAATTATGTGATTGTAGAAACCCAGAAGACTGCCTATTGGAAAATATATTCCGCGTAAAATCTGTTGTATACCAATGTACTATCTCATCTATTGAGAGTCCTAATACTAATATGATATACATTGGGTCTACGAAGAATGAATTTAAAACCTGATGGAGGCAGCATAAGTGCTCTTTCAACAATATTAATAAAAGAAATCAGACATCTCTATGTAAATATTTTGGCATTTGAAGAAAATTAATAAAACACCAAAAGTATAATGGAAAATTATAAACAAAACTAGAATTTGGAATAGTCCATGCCCTTTATGCCTACATGAAAAAAAACACATTATCAAGTTTCTAAATAATGAAAATTTCATAAATAATAGACATGAGTTAACGGTTGTTTTTTCGAAATCATCAAATTTTCGCATTGAATAATTAGCATAAAAAACAAACAAACAATAAAATAATAAATACAAATTTTAAACTCCATAGTCTAAATAAAAAGTTTAAATGTCCCCCACCCATAAAAAAACCTTTATGAAGTTGTCAAAAAAATGTTAGCGAATTATGACAGTTTTTTATGTACACAAACCCTTTCAGGATAAAAAAAAAAAAAAATAAAAAAAAAAAAAATAAATCTCCATAGACACTTAACCAGACTAGACGATGTCATCTTCGGCTTTGAATTTAGACACCCCAACCTTACCCTTAGTTGACCTCTTTGAAAGTAACTGAGATATTGATACAAATTATTAACCCTTACGCCCCCCATTTTTAAAAATAATTGCTCTAGCCGTTACCATAGTAATTTTAATTTTAATAATGAATATGCTTATAAAACGCGTAAATTTCAAGAATTAGTTATTCAAAAAAAATTTCGCTTGAAGATGGAACAGAACTTGGTACTTTAATTCAATTTAATTCAAATAATTATATTGAAGTTTTCGGCTCTTGTTTTGAAACATGAGAACTCTTATGTAGCGATGGAATCATATTTTTAAATAAATAATTATATTTAGGCTCTACTTTTGGATCGAGCACTGTTTTTTAAAAATAATAACAAAAATACTAAAGAACTTTGGATTATTTACTTAACGAGTTCTTTCCTATTTTCTATATTTTTTCACACACACAAACACACACACACACACACACACACACACACACACACACACAAAGTTGTCACAAATTGTGTCACACACACACAACGCTCTCAGCATCATATAACAGAACTTCATGATGTAATATATATATATATATATATATATATATATATATATATTAATGCTATTCTTATTAAAAAAATATTTTACATTGCGACACGTTATTTTTTCCCATGACAAATGAAACGTTAAAGAATTTTTCACGTTAAAACAAGATGTGACAGATTTGTAGTGGATATGTGCAATGTTCTAATGTAACACTTCATAATAAACAAATATTTATTGCTCTACCTTTGTATTGAGCCCTGTTTTAAATTAATGTTTTGAACGCAAATCTTTTACTCTTCTTCTTTTTGCATTTGTATATATATATATAAACAAGAACAACATCTATTCATACCTGAAGATCTCTGTAAAACAGACATGCAAAAAATAAGAACTAATTGGAAATTTATAAAACAGATCTTTTCATTCCGCAATTGTTTGCGACGATGGACTCGCCAATTAAATCATTAACCTTTGCATTTGTTTTTGTATGAATAATTCATGTAATATATATATATATATATATATATATATATATATATATATATATATATATATATTAAAAATAAAATATTACAGATTTTTGTATTTAAGTAAATGCGTTTCATCAGGTCCGAGATCACGAATATTTTCTGAAAAATTTCTCGGACATAGCATTGTTTAACACGACTTATTGAGCCTGATGAAACGTTAAAGAATTTTTTAATGTTAAAACAAGATGTACAGATTTGTTTGTTTATTTGATATGCAATGTTCTAATATAACACTTCATAATAAAAGCAAATATTTATTTTTTTCCTGGCTGGTCGATAAGGCACGTCAGCGTTTTCCGTATTGGAGCCCTGTTTTAAATTTTTCTATGTTTTTGAACAGGCCGGTAAATGAAATCTTTTATTATAAACAGAGCATTTACTTCGTTCTTTTAAACATAAAAAAATGTCTTTAATTATATATATATATATATATATATATATATATATACGCACACTCAACCTTGGACAAATTAATTGAAACAAAACGAATAATTCCGTCATTATTTACTTTTTTCGTATTTTTCCAATGAAACATGACCCAGTCCACATGTTACTACTTCGTATGTCCATTCCACGAAGTCGTTCCTTGCAGATTGACCACAGATTCTCGATTGGGTTTAAATCAGGAGAATTTCTGATCTAGTCTATAGTACTTTGATTTGCTCACTGATAAGGCTCACCAGTGGGTTCGTGGAACGTTACAATTTTCGTACGCTTCCTTGGAGTAATGTCCATGGTAGACAATACCCGTAGGACAACTAATCGATAATCGAAACAATAGTGTCTAGGCGCGATGAAAATCTGATGCAATCACTGATGACGATTTTCAAGGGTAAACGAATTACATCATACAACTCGAAAATAGATTCATATTACTGCACACCACTGCAAATGACCTAATCTGAGGAAAAAATAGAAATCGATTAAGCCCTGTCACTCCAGTGGCTCTAAAACAGACGGTATCGTGAAAGAAAGGAAACTAAAGTGTTTTTTTCAATTAAGTTGAACAAGGGTGTATTTGCACATGGTGTTTGTGGACTTGACGAAGGCTTTTGACACTGTGAATCCGAGGCTCCTTGGCAAATCTTGAGGAAACTCGGCATCCCAGAAAACATGCTAAAGGACATCATCTCCTTTCATGAGGAATGAAAGCTAATGTGTCCGATGGTATGATATCAGAATCCATTGATGTCACAAACGGCACCAAGAATGGGTGTGTCATGGCCCCTGTCATTTTGCCCTGTTTTTCTCGGTGATGCTGAAATATGCATTTGCAGACACAGAGAGTGGCGTCAAGATTCAGTTTCGAACAACTGGTGGTCTCTTCAATCATCAGCGCTTCAAAGCCAAGACCCACCTTCGCACGCAAATTATCCGTGATTTGTTGTTTGCTGATGCTCTTGTAGCGACATCTTTTGAGGAGGCCCAACATCTAATAAATCGTTTCACTGCTGCGTGTAAAGCATTTGATCTTACACTTAGCATAGAGAAAACTGAAGTAGTGCACCAACCTTGTCCTACTCCGAAGCAATAATTTTGTGGTGAGAAACAAAAACCACCAGTCTACAAATTTCCAGAGAGACCATTGAAAGTAGAAGACAAAGCCCTGAACTATGTAAAGTCTTTCACCTATTTTGGTAGCAAAGCCAACTACAGTGGAACTTCAGATGATGAAATCATGCATCGCATTGCTAAAGCTACCAGTGCTTTTGGCAAACTTTGCCATCACTTGTGGAATAAGCGGGTCATTCGACTGGATACGAAAATTCCGATTCACAGATCTGTTGTTCTTACCATCCTTTTGTACGGCTTAGAGTCGTGGACCCCATACAGGTACTATATACGCCAGATGGATGTTTTCCATAAAAGCTGTATGTTAACCTTCAAGATAGGACATCTAACGTAGACCTGTTTAACAGGTGATATTGGAGGAATCGAGACGTTTCTCATACAGTCTCAATTATGGTGGACTGGTCATGTCTTGAGAATATCTGATGACAGGATACCCAAGATCCTAATGTAAAGCCAGTTAGATCAGGGCTACAGGAATGTAGGACGCCCATGGCTAAGATACAAGCTGAAGAGCAACTTGTCAGCAGTCAATATACCTCATAACACCCTCGAGTGCTTAGCCTTGGAGCAGGTAGAGTGGATATCAACGTGTTTTAGTGGACTCAGCAGTTTTCAATCTGCTAGTCTGAATCGGCTTCAAGAAGCGAGAGCACGATCTAGAAGGTCAGCCAATCTAATAGTGGTCTCATCCCACTATCCTCACTCTTGTTCCATATGCACCAACGGGTCTTAAGTGCCACTTAAGATTATCGCACAAAAGTTCATAACTGAACCAATTGGTTAAGTTGTCAGATCTTCATGCGTCGAAACCGACAGGAGAGTCCATTATATATATATATATATATATATATATATATATATATATATATATATATATTATTTTTGTTTCTGTTGAATATTTTGTATGTCTTTCTTTTTGCGTTGTGGATAAAATGATACAGGTATTGTAAGTTTTTTTGCATATGTTTTCTATGTATGTTTCTTCTTTAAGTAAATATTAGGGGCTGCTGATTCTTAATGCTTTCAAATAGAAACAGATGCATATATATATATATATATATATATATATATATATATATATATATATATATATATCAAACGTTATTATAGCGGATAATTGTGTTTGAAATAAACGCCTAATTAACTTTGTTTTTAAACAATGTGTATTAAGTCTATCGGCATGTGCTCTCTGTTTCTGCTTTATTGAGATTTCCCGAATGCACAAAACCGATAGACACACTAAATTCAGTTTATTTTCAGAGGGACATACATATGTGTGTCGGTCTGTACCAAATTCTGCTACAGTCAGATTCATGCCAGACAGAGAAGAAAAAAGTCAATGTTGACAGGTTGCCAGGCAGGATATCAGCGAGTATGATTGGCACAGGGTTTGATTGATAGAATGCTCAGTATTAAAATATTTTATTTCTCTTCAGGGTAATTTATACAGAATGACAGGAAAAATTTGCACAAAAGAAAATATTGACAAATCAAAGATTATCAACACCAACTGTATCCCAGGTAAGAAATACCTTTTGATATTATTTGTTTGTTGTTTTTTTTAAGCGGCACATCAACTTTTTGGGGGTCATTTAATGCCAAAATTTTATATTCTTGGGAGCATGAGTAATTTCATTTACAAAAATATATTTTTTTTTACAAAAATGTATTGCTGGTATTTTTTTCCTATGAAAATGTATTGATGGTATTTGTACTATAAAATGTATTTTTATACTTTCATAATGTTTTGACCCCAGTTTAGTATGGGGTTAACTATTTGCCCATAGCTGGGACCCTAACAGGTGCTACCACCCAGGGTCAGTGTTGACCTGGGAACAACAGCAATTAAGAAATGGTTCCACGTTCCTCAGAACTTCCCGATCAGATACCTTGCTGCTGGATGTAGTTTATCGTCATACCCAGGACGGTTTGATATTATTCATCCAGTACAAGGCTTGAGAGCCATTCAAGGCAGATGGCTATGGTAATATTGAATGAGGTGCGAGATATAAATGGAAGAGGATGTGGTAGGAAGGATGAATGATAACAACTGATCTTTGACACGAAAATGTCAAGTTTGAATACCGCGTGCGTCAGTTGCACAAAATGGCATTTCTTGAGAAAAAGCTGAGGGAAACACAGAGGAAATGAAAAATGATCCCCTTTGAAATATATTTCGTTACATTATCTGTCTATATTTCTGAGATGAGGTATTGTAACTATTTTTACATTAATAACATTGTTCGAACAGTTGTCCTCAACTTCACTACCATAATCACGACGTTTCAGCCGTTTTACGCTCTGGTCTTCCTCAGGAGATATTAGTTAGAATTTCGAACCGAACTTTTTATTTAGTCCACTGGAGGGGGGTAGATTATTCTAATTCCAATATGTCCTCAACTTCACTACCATAATCACGACGTTTCAGCCGTTTTACGCTCTGGTTTCTTCAGGAGATATTAGTTGGAATTTCGAACCGAACTTTTTATTTAGTTCACTGGAGGTGGGTAGATTGTTCCAATTCCAATATGTCCTCAACTTCATTACCATAATCACGACGTTTCAGCCGTTTTACGCTCTGGTCTTCTTCAGGAGATATTAGTTGTAATTTCGAACCGAAATTTTTATTTAGTTCGCTGGAGGTGGGTAGATTGTTCCAATTCCAATATGTTGTCTTGAAATTATCGTGTAAGAACTACGGCGTCTTTACGATGAAATAATGATGGTCACAGTTCCTGCAAATTTTGGAAATCGGTTCTTTTTTAGTGGGTGATAACCAATGTTATTTATATTTGCTATGATTACAAAGAAATTCCGTTTCATTAATGGTTTATGATTCGATCCTGGAGAGGTTCTGTAGAAAATTCTTTTTTTCGATGATGAGCAGATGGTAACTCTTTGATTAAATTGAGAAGCATCCAGATGATGAGAGACCCATTGACCATGTTTTAACAATTTTCCGAATTCATAATGGTTATTAGTATTATTGAAGTATGATTTATACTGTATTTATATACAAGGGTCGTTCAAAAAATCCTAAGCCTCACCCAGAAAGAGTTGGAGAGAAAAGACAGTTTTTCACTATTTTTTAATATAGTCCGCTTTGACATCAATGTAATTGTTCCAAAGATGCTTAAACATTGCAATCACATCACGAAAAAAGGTGCCATCCTGGTCCTTCAAGAACTCCTCCACAGCACATATGATCTAATCATTGTTTCCAATTCAAAATAATGTAAAATTGATATACGAGAGATGTTGAAAAAGTTCTAAGCCTCACCCAGAAGGAGTTGAAGAAACACGACAGTTTTTCCCTATTTTTTAATATCGTCCCCTTTGACATCAATTCATTTTGTCCAAAAACGCTTTAACTTTGCAATTCCACCATGGTAGAAGATGACGTCCTGATCACCATTGAAAATGTCCTAAGCCTCACCCAGAAGGAGATGGAGAAACGAGACAGTTTTTTCACTATTTTACAATATAGATCGCATTGATGTCAATGCAATTGGTCCAAAGATGATTTAGCATTGCAATCTCATGAGGGAAGGAGGTGGCATCCTCATCTTCCAAAAACTCCTCCACAGTTCATATGATCTCATCAGTGTTTCCAATACAATATAATGGAAAATCGATATACAAGTGTCGTTGAAAATATTGTAAGAATCACCCAGAGGGAGTTGGAGTAACAAAACAGTGTTTTTTTTCCCCTTTTTGTTAATGTATTCCCTCTTGACATCAACACACTTCATCCAAAGTTGCTTAAGCACTGCAATCCCAACTGGGAAGAAGATGGCATCCTGGTTCTCCCAAAACTCCTTCACAGCACATATGATCTCATCATTGTTTCCAAAATTGTGACCACGCTAGTGGGATTTGAATTTAGGAAACAGAAAGAAGTCAGATGGAGCTAAGTTTTGTGACTAAGGGGGAGGGGGTAGCAATTCAATGCCACTGTTGGCTGATTCAGCTACTGCAACTTGATCAGTGTGAATGGTCGCTTTATCCTGCAGCAAGATCACACCTGTCCTCAGCTTCCCTCTACGTTTCGACTTGATTGCTTCCTTCAGTTGTCAAAATTCTGATGCATAATACTGTCCTTGAATAGTCTTTTATCTTTTCCAGGTAGCCTATCATGATTACAGAATCCCCAAAATATTTGATCACATAGAAGCAGAAATTTTAAGGAATCTTTAAAAATGATCGTCATGGCCGCATATGACATCTATAGAGAGTTCCTTGTAACCTCCTCCATCAGAAACCGCCTTTCAAAGCTCTGATTCCATTGAATGTATTGATCTGATAGAAAAAAGTTTATTATTGCTTGGCCAAATAATAAATAGGGGATCTGATTAAAGGGCGAGAAAAAGTAAATTTTTCTTGAAGAATCTAATGTTATATGTCGCTATTAATTAAAATGTATCTTTGAAAAAAAATGCCATATTTGGTTCTAGGGTCGAAATTCTGAAATCCTAAATGGCACAAGTTTTCTTTTCAGAGTTTTACACAATGAACTTTCTTGATAGATTGATATTTGGGGAATTTGTTCAAATATTTGTGATGTAATGGAATAACCTATTACCCCCATGAGTGACTACACTATAAGTAATAACTGCCTATAAGTATCTGTAAGTCAACGGACTACAGAGACTAGCTGAAATCTTTTTCGGCTGGCTTGACGAACTCTCTGTCTCTGAGCAGAGAGGAACCCGAACGAGGTTCTGCTGAAGGGCAGAGTCTCGTTCGGGGAGGTTGACCAACCCAGTCCCGTTTATGCGGGTTCTACGGGCATTTTTGGTCAAGCCTACGGGCTCGGTAGACCCACGTTAAACTCGGCCTTGTGCTACATCTACCCTCGTGGGGGAGGACTAGTAAATATTGACTAGATGAAATCTTTTTCAGCTGTGCTGGCCGAACTCTCTGCCTTTTCAGATACGGGGGCTATGCCGAAGGGCAGATTTTTCAGGGAGGTAAAGATCCCCTTTATACACTACGGGGATTTTTTGTCGAGGCCTACGGGCCCCACCCCATTAAATTCGGCTTTGTGCCACATGTGACTGCGTGGGGAAGTTGTTAGATACACTAGCTGGAATCTGTTCTAACTGTGCTGTCGAACTCTCTGGCTTCCGGCAGAGAGGAACCCGGACGAGGATCTGCCGAAGTGCAGAGTCTCGTCCGGGGAGGTAGACAGATCCAAACCCGTTTATGCAGGTTTTACGGAGAATTTTTGACCGAGGCTACGGGCTCGCGTGTCCCACGTTAAGCTCGGCGTTGTGCCACATCTACCCTCGTGGGGGGTAGTAAATATTGACTATGTGGGATCTGTTGAGTACAACTCAGACTTACGCAAGAACTACCGACCTTCCAATAGTAGCACTCACTACTGGATTGACTTGCGACGACCTTGTGAATAACTGTTACCTTTGTTTTTATTGTATTGGTTCTTACAATAAACTTTTACTTATTTTATCCACCGTGTTGTTTAAGTATATATTCCTATTAGCACGGAATATAACAATTTGATATCATAAATTTGATGGGATCGTCAAAATGATCGTAATCTCATTCAATTTTGCGTCCTCAACATTTTCGACACCCGATCTACGGTATTAAATGAAATTTGGTTTCTTGTGAAAAATATTTTTTTTAGTTGCTAGTTATCGGAGTTACCTATTTGTCTATTTTCATTTTTTTTGTCTTTTAGACGATGCTGTTCTTGCTTCTAGTTTTGTTGTTGGCGGACCTCATGAAGATATCGAAGTAAACAAATACATAAAATCATCTGCGTTGGCTCGACTGGAAATGGTTGTCACTAAACATCACTGTTTCCCTCTAAGCCAAGTTACCCTTATATATGATCAAATCAAAAAGGGATCTCAGGGTAAGTACATTCCAATCGTGTCTCTTTGGAACACACACACACACACACACACACACACACACACACACACACACACACACACACACACACACACACACACACAGTTTGCATACTTCTTCTCTTTCGTATAAAGTGTGCTAAATACTTTTGAATGAGCTTTTTAATGCACATAAAAATGATATTTTAATTTTTCATGAAGATCAATTTTTAAAAATGAGTTGTTTATCATGAACGTTCCCGGGATCTGTCATCCTTTTTACGTTTTTTTTTTCAAAAGCCATTTGTCAGCGTGTCGACAGTTCAAAGTAATATGATTCCTTCTATCTATGATTTATTACTGATACAGTAATTGTGGCACAAGGCAAAAAAGGGGGGGGACTGGTCAAGGTTGGTCGTCATTATACCTAGCTAATCGGATTCGTTATAATAGACGCATTCATCATAAGAATTTATCCATTCGTTCACTCATACTCCAAAATACGTCACACGCGCTGAGTACATATTATGTACAATTGTATTGTGTATTATATATATATATATATATATATATACACACAGAGAGAGAGAGAGAGAGAGAGAGAGAGAGAGAGAGAGAGAGAGAGAGAGAGAGAGAGAGATGGGCATTCGTATATAGCCAATCCCTTGCTCACTTTCCACATTTTGTGTTTATTCAGTACCCACAAAACCCTCCTGTGGATTGTACAGCAACAATGCTGAGCAGACTTTAGTTACAGTTTCTGAGAAAGAGCGTGTTATCTAGCGTGATCAACAATTTGAATCTTCTAACCATTCGGCCACGTGTCTTATATATATATATATATATATATATATATATATGGTTCCGAGTGAGTAAAAAATGGAAAATTTCACTCACGTGACCGAGAGAGCAAAAAATATGGTCTTTTTGGCTGCACAGAGATCGGTGATGTAATTTAATGAAAAACGCTTCTGTTGTGCGTAAATGCTTAGCAGATCTCCTCATATTTTTCTAATATATATATATATATATATATATATATATATATATGAAGAAATATAGTTTTAAGATGTGCTATATTTATGAGATAAAGTGCTCAATATCAGAGATAGAGCGGATGTAAATATAAAAGTGAACATTGAAGTCAATTATCAGAGGCGACAGGCTGTTTCATGCTAGACGCAATTGCCAGGCCATATTTCTTCTGTAAATATTCGAAAACAGTTAAAACTTATAATACATGACAGAAAATGAAAAAATCAAATCTGTCACTAATCAAAATAACCGCATCAAATCTTAACTAGCGAGGATCAATCAATTTCACTGCCCAGTACAAGATTCGGTTTCTTGTCATAAATCAATTACCTATATCGTTCATAGCGCCATCTCAATTAATAGATATCACACATGCCACTTATCCCATCAAAATGCCATAAGAAGGCATTTAGCCACCCATAATTTAATAGAATCCTTAAGGAAGATTCTGGTAAAACATCTCGCACCCAGTATAAATATCACGTTATTCAACAGCGGAAATGCTGTGTTGAAGGTTTTTAAAAAATAGAAAGGTGCACATTCTAATTCCAGACGCGCTCAACACGCAAAGGGTCCGAATAAACGCGTCTACTAGGATTCAAAACAACAACAATACACAACACACACACACACACACACACACACACACACACACACACACACACACACACACAAAAACAAAAAAAAAACAACAAAAAACAAAAAAAAACACCTTAAACAGTCAAACATGAAGATAAATTAACAACACCTAAAAACAATGCTCTTGAAAATGGCTAAAGAAGTGGCCAAAAGCCATATAACGCTCTCGGACAATTTTTACATTCCATTACGCTTAACAAGCGGAAAATATAATAATGTTGCAAAAACTAAAAAATAAACGAATAAAATTTTGCTTGTTTATCATGTTCAACAACAACAACACACACATATAGATATATATATTTGTATTATCTAAAATGTTCTATATTTATAGAGAGGTGTACACAGTATTGGGAATTTTAGATATAGACATGGTTTGTATCTATCTATCTAATTCTGTTCATATCTATTTATCTAGACCAGTCTGTTCTTATTTATCTATCTTTGATAAATATGATCCCTTCTTGTCTATTCATATCTATCTATCTATCTATCTATCTATCTATCTATCTATCTATCTATCTATCCGATTCTGTTCATATATATCGATTTATCTCTCTCTCTCTCTCTCTATATATATATATATATATATATATACATATCTCGCAGTCTGTTCATTATCTATCTATCTATCCCATTATCTATCTATCTATCTATCTATTCCTCCCATTATGAGTCTATGTATCTGATTTTGTTCCTGCCTCATTATCTATCTATCTATCTATCTATCTATCTATCTATCTATCATAATTACCTTTCTCTCTTCTAGTGAAAGAATTTGCCATGGTCAGCGTAGCCAACATAAAACTTTCAATCGATGACCCGTCTGTCTTTGTTTTACCCGACGTTTGTAAAAAAGCGCATTTTTCGACGGTAGGTTGTTTTTTAAAATATATTTTTTATTTCTATTCTATTTATATATATCTATATCTTATTTTTCTTTATTATATATATATATATATATTTATATATATATATATTATATATATATTTTATTATATATATATATATATATATATATATATATATATATATATACAAATATATGTATATATATATATATATATATTATATTTATGTATATATTTTACATTTTATATTTATATATATATTTATGTATGTATTTATATATATTTATATATATATTTATATATATATTTGTATATATTTATATTTATATATTATAAATTATATATTTTTATATTTTTTTTATCTTTCTGTATAATCTTTTTGTAAATTTTATATTTATATAAATATTATTTAATGTATGTAGATTTATAATATGTCATTTATATGCATTTAATATATATAGATTTGACACTATAAAAGCTATTTATATTTGAGGGAGTCTCCACTATTTATTTTTTATATCCGAATAACTAAATTACAAGTGGAATGAATTTGTGTCATATCCTAACCTTTTTGTTATGTTCTGTATCATCCATATCACTAGCCTCTGCATAAACGTCACATTATTTCAACGAAAGACGGTTTCTTTTTCATTTTAGTTTTATTATACGAGAAGGATAGACGTTGTAACATCGATTCTAGAAGCACTCTTTGGATTAAAAACGGTCTTAGCCTGTCTATTGAATCTGTGTGTGGAAAGCGTATCAAAATATTTTGAATGAAAAAGCACGCCCACGAAGTATTCTCACCAATCACTGTGCATCCTGGTCTGGCCTCTGCATTCTGTAATACTGAATTGGTGAAATAACAGAAAATTTTCCATGGCAATAACGAAATGCTTATGACGTTTCATCTGTGGTTGTAGGGTAGAATATAGTTCATCACCAACAAAGCCAAGTAGACGCTTTTGAAGTCTGTTAAGTTGGAAAGAGATGACGGAAGAGCCTGAGCGAGATGTGGCAACAATATTCCATTTCTGGTTTAATCTGACATGGCAGGTAGAATCAGATATTTTCCGGAGGATGTTTAAGATAATTGTTTTTGCAGTTATCTTAATAAATTGACGCTTTATTTGGTTGACCCCTTTTGGTAATTGAAAATTCTGATTTTTACATACAGTTGTCTGATTTTGGTCATTCTTGATTTTGCTTGCACAGATGTATAGATTTGGTTGTGAGGAGTCTCCATCTATTAGGTTGGTGCAAAATAATGCGTCTAATGTTTTTTTGACGTTAACGTCAAAAACTACATTAACCACGTCGTTATTTTTGCACCAACTAATAATATATAATGGCTACCATTTCTGCTAGAAAGCCTGCTCAGATACTTTGTGCTCCGAATCCACAGAATGAACCTGTGGTTTATACGGTAACGATACTGGTCATATTTATTTCTTGGGAAATCGAATAATCTAGTAAGAAAAGAAATATTTGCACAACTGCAGTAGGCTCAAATCCTCGTCCACGATGACTTTTCACTTCGTGCTATCACAACGATCAACGAGTTCCGTAGAGGTTTGTTTACCCCGTTTTCACTCACGTGCTGTGGTTCTCAATCACTTTCCCATGGTGCCGCACACGGGGATCACGATCCTCAGATCGATGACCAGAGAAATCAAGAAGTGACACATCAGCCCAAACATCATATTCAGAGAGTGAGCTTTCTAACCATTCGGCTACGTAGGAATGGGTAGGCTAAAAAATCTACATACACGCACATACGTATAAATATATTCTTCCTCAGGTATCATAAAGAGTACTCAATATTGGAATTACTGTGAAACAGAGCTATAAGATGTATATAGATATCCATATAACAATAATATTCTCTCTCTATCGAGATATATATATATATATATCATTTTGGCACTAAGTTTATATATATATATATATATAATGTCATCCACAGACAGACTGTTTCGCTGTTTACAGCTCATCGATTCTAGACATCCGGTTGCTAGGATCGAAACCCGATTGAATTAGTCATTCAACCACTAAGCCACGGCCTTTTTTAGTATTTATTTTTGAAACATGCCCAGTGACTGACAGTGACTCAATTTGCTTTACGCTATAAAATTATATATATATATATATATATATATATATATATATATATATATATATATATATATATATATATATATATATATATATATATATATATATATTTTTCTACGCAACTTGGCATAACTTATATATATATATAAATATATATATATATGTGTGTGTGTGTGTGTGTGTTATATATATAACCATATAACATTGTGGCCGCTCGGTGTTTATATATATATATATATATATATATATATAAAATTCTCATTCATACAAAAACAAATAACATTCCATATAAATAAGATACATCAAGTTGATATGATCCTGTTTATAAAATTACATATATATATATATATTACAAAATTCATGACTATTTATTACACTTGAATATGGCGAACTATATTGTTCAATAATTACAGTAATGTCACACTTATTATCCGATTGCACGATCTTATTTTAATTTCAATTAAAAGGTCAAAAAGTGTCTTCTTACTATTTGTACAAAACGCACAACCTTAAAATTTAAAATTCAAACTCAGCGTTGCGACCGCACGTTTATAACTTATATCCATTTTTTTCGGATTACATCTCTATTTTCGTCCTCTTATTACAGAAGTAAAAACAAGAACAAATCTATTTCCATCCCTGATGATGTCTGTACAGACGAAAGCTAGTAAAAATTAAAAGACCTTATGCAACTGGAATTTATAAACAGGGATCATATCATTCATATACATGTTCGATGTATATTTATATTGTTTGCGACGATGTATTCTCGCCATTTAAATCATTAACCTATATATTTGTTTTTGTATGAATGATTCATAATTTGTAAATATAATTGCATCTTTTTTAATTATTATATATATATATATATATATATATATATATATATATATATATATATATATATATAAAGGCTCAATCACTAACATTCCATGGTTATAACTATTTATTACATTGGAATCGTAATCATGATCCATTCATCAAACCTACAATTTCAAAATATTAGCCTTTTATATTATATCCTTGCTCTGTCCTGGACATTGAGCTCTACCTGGATTCTCTCCTCTTGGATATATATTGATCACTAATATATATATATATATATATATATATAATACTATCTACTGTCCTCATGATTCTTCTTCTTTTGTTCTCGCTCTTAGTAATGTTTTGTCCTTCCTATTCTTCTAAACCCAGTAAATCATTTGCGTCTTAGTCGCTTTACTCTCTTGCTTAGGGTGAAATCGGTTGTGCAGTTTCATATTTATATCAATATAAAAGTTCAGATTTGAAAATAAGTCCAAATTCGCGGATGTCTCATTCCAGGACGTCTAGATTATACTATGTTCGGATTTGGGGAGTTCTACTTTAGTTCCCTCAATCACTCTGTGTTTATCTAAAAATAAATAAGCTTAAATTCAATTTCTTCCCAGCCAACGGCTTAGGGGAAAAATCTTCGACTGACGCCAATTCAGCCTGGTTTCGATCTTAGCTAGAGGCAACCGGACGTATAGCCACACTGATGAGCTGTGATACAGCGAAACAGTCTGTCTGTGGATGACAATATATATATATATATATATATATATATATATATACACCAGCATGTGTGAAGTTATAATAATTCTAGATAATTCAGGAAGTCCATGCTGTTTGAATTCACGGGTTCAAATAGTTTTCTCAAACTCTTTAAGTTGAAGTACCTTCTGGTAGGGACGGGGTTTTCTTCGTTCTAAGAACTTTTGAGATTTTCTTTCTGTGTCTACTATCAACACTGTGCCATCTGCATATCATATGTTGTTAAGATTGTGGCCGCAAATAATGAATTCTGCTAGGACTTCTAGGTCATTCAGAATCACCTCGCTGTATAGGTTGAATAAGTCCGGCGAGAAGATACATTCTTGTCTTACATTCCTTCCTATTTTTTGTATATCTATTGTACTTAATTGTCTATGCGTGTTCAGGCGGTTTGCTACCAATAAAGGTTCTGCTATCAGTAAAGGTTATTGATTATTCCAATATGTATCTCAAATATATCAAGGTTGCTGAGCAGTTCCAATAGATGTTTCTAGCAATCAATATTTCGATACGACTTTAATGCAATTGAATATATGATATAAATTTTTCATGGTGAAAAAAATTTTCAATAATTTTAAAGTGTCTGCCTATCTGATAGATTGGCACATGACAATCTTACTTTTCTTATTTTTGCACATTTAGCCTTGTTCTCTACTAAGAAAGGTGTTAGTAAATATGTAAGGAATTATAATATATCTAATGTTGATTGCAAAAGAATTTGTTTACTACAAATGGAAGAAAATCATTTTATTACATTGGCAGACATAAAAAACCAACATAAAATCCAATCGATAATTTAAAGTATTAAATCAATTTTATAATAAGTGCTAACGTTTCTGAGATGATGTTTTGCTTTTTATTTCCAGGAGAGGAACATTGACAATGATTTGCCTGTTGATCCTTGGAAGTCTGTGCCATTCTTAGGAAGAGTCTAAACGAATAATTCAACATGGAATGCAGATTCCACAAGAAGAAATGTTCTTTGATTTGGGTTTAGATTTAAGAGAATAAAATATTTAAAATAATTAACGATGCAATTGTCTGTTTCATTGGTTTGTTATTTGACGGATGTTATGAAACTCTGATTGGACCCAGACAAATATAGATAGATAGATAGATAGATAGATAGATAGATAGATAGATAGATAGATAGATAATGAAGGGATTGAGATAGATAGATAGATAAGGGAATTGAGGAGTGAAAAACTGAAAGAGGATTGACAGA